AGCCCGGCAGGTCACGGGGCGACGCGGAGCCGGAGAGGCCGGAGCCGGGTGAGGAGCCGGAGCCGGGCGTCTGTTGGGCGAGCCGGGAGTCCGGCGGGACTCAGGGCTCGAAGGACCCCCGGGACGCGGGGATGCGTTGGGGAGACCAGGCGCGGGGCCGGAAACCCTGCGCAGGCCGCCGGTCTCCGTGTTTCGCGCCTCCATACCAGCGTCCTCTGTTGCAACAACTTGGGGCAGTTCTAGTTTGTTTTCGGGCGGACGGGGGTTTTAGGGAACCAGGGAGAAACTAGTGTGTGTACACACACACACACACACACACACACACACACACACACGGAACCAGGGAGAAACTAGTGTGTGTACACACACACACACACACACACACACACGGAGGTCTGGCATAGTGGGTTAAGCGTTGGGCTGCCAACTGCAAGGTCAGCAGTTCGTACTCACCAGCCACTCAGTGGGAGGAAGACGAGGCTTCCTCTAACGGGTTACAGTCAGGAAAGCCCACACGCAGAGTTGTCCCCTGTCCTCTGGGGTCATCAACTTGATGGCAGTGCGTGTGTGGGTGTACACATGTATATCCCTCTCCATCTGCCTTGAAGAGGTTCTGACCCAGAGATTCCGACGGACAGCCACTCCAGATAGGGTCTCCATACTGTAAATCTTTAACAGCCTCATCCCTGTTTTGCATAGTGGCTACTGGGTTTGAACCACCACTGCAGTTAGCCCAGCATTTAATCCACTGCGCCACCAGAAGGCATTTAAAAAATATTTACATACATACGTATACATGTCTTCATAAATTTTTGCTTCAGCTGCCTGCCTGTTGTCTGAAATGCCCAAGCATACTATCTGCAGGCTGGCAGCCTGTATTCCTGGGAGTTCAGAGTTACGGCGCCTTGCTCTTTGATACTCGGAGGGAGAACAAGCCCATGGTTCTCAAAGGACCTTCACAGACTGTGAAGACTGTGTGTCACTGTTCAGATGGTGTCCGTGCTGTTCAAAGTGACCCGAGGGAAGTGGGATGGAATGTCTGCATCCACAAGTTGCTGTTCATCTAGTAAGGGGAGTGGGGGAGTCACCTTTTTCTGCTTGGGGCCATGCGGATATTTATAGCATCATTTGAAGACGATGCTGGTCAGACATTTGATTAACTCACCCCTCAAGTGATGGCTGGCACTGCTGCACTGTGGTGACCATAGCTGATATTGATGATTTCGATACCACCCTGACCTAGTCACATCTTGCTCACTCCCCGCTGACACGCCCACAGATGGCATTTGATCCTTGTGCTTCCCTGTCGGCCTCCGTGTTGGAGCTCATACAGCAGCACAAGGGTGCCAGCAAACAGCCCTCGTTGTTGTCAGCTCAGCGTGAGTATCCAGCACCTGTAGTGAAGACTCGCTGCTGCCGGTGGGGAGGAGGACGGGTCGCTGTTAAATGGAATGATGGCGCTGTGTTTTGAGTGCAGCGCACTTACGTGGAAATGCTGATAGGCTGAGATGGAGCGTTCGCACTCAGTCTTGTTCCAGGAGTGAGTGTATATTTGAAAATTTTCAGTCATGCCTTCGACATGGTGACAGGCCTGCAGAGTGACTTTCCTAACCTAATGGAATCCCTTAATGGAGAACATGAGCGCATAGAACATGCCCGTGAACGCCCCAGGTGCCCGAGAATGAATGCAGTCAATTCGACCAGGGCGTTCCTTTCTTTACAGGGCTTTCGGGATTAGGGGTAGGAAGGTGATTTGAAGAGCATAGTTGCTGCTGTTAGGTGACACCCATGGGGTCCGTTCTTAATCACAGCCACCTGGAGCACGCACGACAGGACGGAACCCCGCCTGGGGCTCAGTGAGGCTTTAGTATTTATCTGGAGTCAGGTGAAGGAGGAGCACGCCAGGTGAGCACATGTGCAGGTGCCCCCGCAGTGCCTCAGGAGGACTGATGGCCACCTTTTTGTTTTGGGGAGGGGGCAGCATTCTTGGACATTGGTCTTGGTCTTGGGAATCTTGCGAGTGGACTGGCAGCTGAATAGGACTGGGGAGGGGTAGTTTGGGCTGATATGCTGGATGATGTTTCAGGAAAGCCTGTCTCCTCCAGCTGGGGTCAGGCATTGTTGAAGCAAGTTTGTTTTTTGAATATGTATAGCTCCTTCTGTTTGACTCTAGTTTTCTCACCCCCAGCACATAGAAGCCATTAAATATGGGTGGTCAGGCACCCCACTTGCAGCAACCCTGTAGGACAGAGAGCAGCTCCCTAGGCTTCCTGAGACCAAAGCTTCATGGGACCTGACAGCCTCATCTTTGGGGGTGGGGCACGGGGGTGGACTTGAAACAACCCAGCGTTTACTCACCAGTACCACCGGTGATTTTAACTTCCTTGTTAAAAGTGGTCAGAAAATGTCTAGTATTTGGAGATGGGAAATACTAGATCTGTTGTTTTACACCAAAGTCACGTTATGGTGTTTAGAGACTTCATTCTGAGGGTTTTGTTGTCTGACTTTCAGAGTCACCCCCACATATGCCTGCTGGGACCTGGGGCTCAGTTTGGGGTGTGGGGGTCGAGTTTGAAACAATGTGTAGGTTTGAAACTGTATCTGGAAGTGCTGACGCTGCTTCTTTTGTTGCGTTCAGAGGTGACACCATCTCTGGAGAGTGATGCAGTGATAACCAAGAGGGGAGTGGGGGGAGGTGGCCATGGGCAGCGCAGTCTGAAACGTAACAGGTTGATGGCCATGGCCAGACCAAGGCTACGTAGCTTGGAGCGGAAATGGTGGAGACGATTCAGGCATGCTGATGGCGGTGTGGGTTCTGTGTTGGGCTGCCCACTGTCAGCTAAGTGGTTCGAAACCACCACCTGCTCTGGAGAAGGACGAGGCCGTCTGCTCCGTAAAGGTTTTCAGCCTCGGAAGCCCTCAGGGACAGTTCTACTCTGCCTTGTTGGGGTGCTGGGAGTCATAGCGGGCTCGATGGCAGTGCGTTTGCTCTGGGTTCTGTTTGCGGGACGAGCATGGAAACAGCCGAAGAACAGTCTACAGAGTGGTGCCATTCAATGCCCTCCGTGTCACCCAGCATCTCCCAGAAGAGGGCTGGCCACTTCCTTGCGTGGCCGCTATCTGACGCGTGACAGGGACTGCGCTGGCCCTGCTGCTGCCTTTGCTCCTGGGGAAGAAGAGCAGTGTGTGGGGCTCATGTGGACAGAGGGAACATTTCTCTCTAGGTCGGGAAAGGACCCAAGAGCTGAGCAGTCAGATACAAGAGCGTATGGCCGCTGCTCTGGTTGGGTGTTGGTCAGAGCCCTATGTCAAGCTTGCTGTGAGGGACAGCACCTGTGTCTCCGCTCAGCACCCAGATCTGTCGGGCATATTCCCAGTATGCCATGCGATCTCCCACTGGTCCTGTGAATATCTTGAGGGTGGCCCCTACGGGGAGCAGACAGTGGCATCTTAAGCAATGAGGCCAGTACTCAAAGTGCGTGGGACCAGCCTGTGGGGAACCTGCATACTGATGTGGTCACCTGCCTGGTTGGGGGTGGGGGTCACGCTGGAACGAGACCCCCTCACCTTGTCTTCCCAGTACCTCCTGTGGGAGTTGCTTTGTGGTGTGAGTCTGTCCTGGGAAGGCTGAGACTGCCTGGAACCACGCCCCTGGGGTTGCAGCCCTCCAGTGTTACCACAGCAGGCCTCTTCCTTCCTCTGCCCCCTCCCTTCCAGAGCAGGAAGTGGGCTCTGACCGTGCCACCCACACTGCCCATTTGAAGTCCTCTTTGCTTGGCACCTCTGCTTCGGAGCCAGTCTGACCCGCATGGAAGCAGGCATGCTGCCATCCTGACAGATGGGCGGCACAGGCCACCCGGAGACCATGCCCCTGCATGGGGGGTGCTTGTTACCGGCAGGGTCCCGGGGCCTCTTCAGGTGTCTGTCCACCCTGAGCCCTCACTCAGCTGGCTACAGTGTGTCCTTCAACTGCTCCCACGCGGATGGTGGAGATCAGTGTCCTTGCCTTCATCACAGGATCACTTCAGTCGGTCTCGTCCGTAGCTAGCCCGACTATACTGACACTTGCTCAGGCAGTGTCCCCATGTGTCCCCAGTGCTTCCTCAGTGGTTTGCTTGGGCAGCAGCTGGGGTGTGTCTGTGTGGGTGTGTGTGCAGGTACAGTTCTTGATGGTGGGTGTTTTAGACCAGGTTGGATGTAACTTGAGTCGGGTCCATCCCTGAGAGCAAATGTATGTTGGCTGCGGGGTGCTACTAGGGTCCCCGGGTTTGTCTCGTGAACCATAGTAAATTGACACTTAGCCCACAGGCAGGTTGTCATGAGAATGGCGCACTCACTGTTGGCCATTGGCTTCTGTGCTTTGGAGAAATGTTCATCTAACAGTTGGTTATTCCCTCTCTTCTTGGTTCTCCCATTTTCCAGAAGCATCGGTTCTCCTGCAGGAAGCTAGAAGGAGGGGTAAGAGGGTTCTCAGGCCCCTTGGCCTTCTTTTGACAACAATTTCCGCTTGCAGCATGCGCAGGAGCCTCACAAAAGCTGTGCATGGATGTCAGTGCTTTTTGCATTGGAATAGAC